GGTTAAGGTTGGTTTATTTTTCTCTTTCTTGCTGTCCTCTGAACGTCCTATACATGTTTGTTTCTACATGAATACTACTGCAAACACACACACACACACACACACCACGAAGATTTCAACCTCATCCTTTGACAGGGCTTAAGAATCCTGAATATGCTTTTCTCAATCTCTTCACCATCAGCAAGCCAAGCAAGGAAAAAATCATTGCATCACAAACGTGCCCATGTCTCTTTCCACACAGGATTTTAGGTAAGGGAATTCCTCTTTCTTTGATTCTTAGCTTTTGCTGTTAGGTAAGTCTAGATGTCCCCTTGATGATCTTCATTGGCATAAAATATTTATGAAGAGAAATGGATGAAAATCCCTAAAGGTTGTCATGGCTACTCCAAACAATTTACTCAATGTGCTTCTGCATGCATCTTAAATTACTTTTTTTTCATACTTTTCCTTCATATTCCAGCTTGACTCAGTTCCTATTACAGTATAACATATTTGAGAGTATTTGATGCAGCCTAGCATATGTAACTCAAAATGAGAAGAGAAAAATGAAAAACTATTTCATTTTTTGTTTTTTGCTTTTTTTTTTTTTCAGATTGGTAGCAAAACATGGTACTTCACATGGTCTCCCATAGGGAAATGGGATGAACTCATCATGTAATGACTTGCTGTGTCATAGGAAAGAATCAGAATGTTTGTTGCAGTGCTATCCTATAGTGATTTTGGAGGGATTTTCAACAAATTTTTAAAAATTTCCTTACAATCTCTAATTTAAACTCCACATTACAGCTCATTAAGAACAACTCAGATCATTCCACATGTATCATACTAAAGGTGGAATATGCTGGTACAAAGTGATAACCATTAATCTTCATTTCCTCTCCTTAGCATTTCCAATATCTAAAAAGTTTTATGGGAAAAGGACACACAGTTTGTTCAATTTTAGTGATTAACATAAGAAAAGACTGCACAGAACAGTTTGTATATGCTGGGTACTAATTATCCGATGTGTTTATATTAAAAAATAAAAATTAACACATGCACATACACACTGTGGAAAAAAATATTTCCTGTCAAAAAGAAGACTTCCCTTAAAAGAAGAAAGTGGTTAACATTGGATGAGCTAGGCAAAGTTGAAGATTCTTCAGCATCTCTTTCAAGAAAGGATATTTTGTGCTGGAAAGTGAATTGAAGCATCACATGTCACATAGTCGCATAAGAAACAGACAATTCCCCCACAAAAATTCCTCATCCCAGAAGGTAATCTCTTGGGACTTTATGCATCTCATTATATGTCAGACATGACAGTTCTATGATATAAACATAAATTCTGAAATTAAATAAAAATAAAGAAAGCCCATATATCCAAAATGAGTGTCTAGTTTGGGAATTTTTTTTTCACATCTGCCAGAAAACATAGCACAAATATAAGTTTCCATAAATTATCCATTCTGAACAGTTCTTAGAAATCCATGCTAAAAAATTTATGGATTTTACATTTTTATTTTTTAAATTGCAAAATTGCAAAAGCCTTTTCACATTGTGAACTCAGTCTTGTGTTATGTTTGCAGCTCTTACTTCCAACTTAGTTGTAAAGCTGGGTAATTTCTTGAATATTTAAAAAAAAAATGTTTAGGGGAGTCTTCCTACATACACTTGAGTGAATGATAACAGAAGTGTGTATAATATTATAAGGAGAGTAATTGACTCTCCTTATAATATTATACACATTATTGCATTATTTTACATGGCATCCAGTTACACAGCTTATGATCCGAATTTGTAGCTGAGCTTAATGCAATCTTAACCAGATTAAGCATTTCACATGTTTAAAATGAAAGAGAAAATGAAGATTTAGCACCTAGCAATCACATATCAATCTAAATATCATACTTACAATCAATAAACTGTTATTAATTGTACTATACAGATATATTATTTAAATAACATAAATGAGATAGTTTTTTAAATGACAACAAAAAGAGAAAATGAACAAATCAAGTCAACTGAAAGCAGCAAATAATCATAATATGCAAAAACATGTAAATAAATACCTTAACTCTTAAAAAAAAATGCCAAAGATTAATTTTAGATATTTTATTTCAACCTTGCTTACATTGTTATCAATATTATTTTATCAATTTTATTTGAATATATGATGTAAAAAGGGAAGCCACAAAAACCCTTTAGAAGAGTAATTGAGAATCCTTATGAAATTTTTTCCTTCCTCATTTGGCATTAAGAATTATGATAAATGCTGTATTTAAGATAAAGCTACAATAAGCATAAACAATTTGTAGTAATAGAGTAGAATGTATTAAATACCAAACTTCAAAAAGATGAGAACAGTTTTCTCCTGTGTCTTATATATTACCTTCTTTCAATTCATCTCACACACAAAATAAATACAATTTAAATTAGATATTAGGTAGAAAGAGTGTTAGTGATGTAATCTGGCAAAAAAAAGGAAAAAAAATAACTGGACATTTGAGAAAGATCCCAATGATTTCATGATATATAACTTTCTTATCTTGAGGTATTTCCGTGCTGCTCAGTGTAATGCTGTACTTATTTAACCCCACGTAGAGTTATTCACACTGCGAACAAGGAACACTAGTGGTCCCGCACACCACAGCTGTGAACATACACCGACGCTTATCAGCATGTGACGTGTTCTGAATAGCCTCAGCAGTTATCGCCATCAGCGCTACCGTTCGTGTATTATTCTCATCCTCAGCATTTTTCAACACCAAGATGAAAGTAGTAACCCATGATTTCTCAGACTGTCTTTTGAAAATAAATTGCTGAATTTCAATAACACGGTTTACATTGGTCATTGAGAACCTGTGTGCACAACCAAAGGCATATAAGTCACTAATATTGAAGTATAGGCACATTAGCCAAGTATTACATCCCAGTATCACACCATGAAGTGTGTGTCATCATACATGATGTTTTGTTCAGCCAAACCTACTAATGACTTAACTTCTACTCATCCAAAAATTACATAGTGATGTGAACATTCCATATCAGGTTTTTTTTTTTTTTAATCTGTAAGAAAGGGAAAATTGCGAAATTTGTTATTTGGATTGAAGTACTAAAGTACATGGGAATATTTATCATAAGCTTATCAGTATCTTTTCTTCTTACACAAATTTGAAAACTTTTCCATTGGGTTTTTATATTGCAAGATATCCATCGGAGGTATCAACATTTTTCTCGGTGCTGCAGGAAACTTTCAGAAAGTACAACTAGCTGCTTTTCTACCACTCAAACCTTTCGGCTCCATCATTTTGTTACTGAAAAGTGAGTATTAACTTCATGTCACAAGAACCAAAACCAGGCAAACCTCTCTGGAGATTAGGATCATTCACAGCTGAAATGTATTTTTTTTTTTTTTTTTTTTTTTTGCTAATGGACAAACACCTTTCTCATTAAGCCTCAGAAGCAATAGCCAAAGTTAAAGTTGTTAAGGTCTCATTAATAAGATTAATTAATTAGAGTTTCATGTTAACCATCCTAGCAAATTATTCAGATTTTATTACTAATTAGTCCATAAAACATTTTCCTAATTTGGTGGAAATTTTGATATTGACTACTACTTTTAACATTACTCTGCTCCGAATAAAAGACTGGAAAAATAAGTGATCTATATATCATGGGGAGTCACAGCCAAAGTTTCCATCTCCTCTGGATTTATTGGCATGACATAACCCATAATACTTCAATCTAAAACTAAATTCTGTCTAGAAAGTATGATCAAGATCAACAACTAAATGAAAGTATGTCAGTATTTTTTCCCTCAAAATTCCAATGCACTAAAAATTCAAAGCACAGAGTTTTCTTTAAAGTCCAGAAACTTGTAACAATTTCTCATAATGAAAAACATCAGATCACTTCCATATAAGTTACAACCATCTACTCACTGGATAAACAGAAAGTTAAACTTTGCTTTCTATAGGAACAAATAATCAATTACCATTAATACATATTACTGTTGTCCAGAAGTGGATTACTGAGCCTCTTCTATGTGTGAAAAGCACATAGAATACAAGGGTGATGACCCATGAAATTAAGAATATAAATATTCTAGGACAACGCATGGTACTGACTTGGAAAAGTATATGGTTTTCATGAAGTAGACTGCAATTCCTTGTTCAAACTTTCAAACTTTTTTTTTTCAAATACAAGCTGTATTTACTAATCAGAAGGAACTCAACAGTATTGACTTTCATCAGCATTTTATGAAGGATATTTGTCATTGTTAATGCTCTATGAAAATTACTTGGACATGGGGATAAGTCATGCTGAAAACATATTCATTATAATGGTTACATGCTAAGTAGAAGAAAATCAAAATATATCCCTGTGCATTGTTTATCACATAAAGAAAACCTTTTAGCAACAAACATGTCAAATGTTGGGGAAAATTGCCTATACCTTCTTAACAGTTGCCTCTACAGACTACCACACCACATCAGCAACAGGGGAGACAAAAGACACACTTTAAGTTTCCACAGGATAAGAATGCTTTGCTGAGCAAAAGAATTAAAGTTAAGAATACAGCAAATAAGGAACTGGTTTTGGAAAACCACTTTAAGATTTGAATAACTTAATTGACCAGATGTACTTAATCTAGACATACACACAAGACAGCAAGCAAAATCCAATCCCTGCAACTGAACTTGTACCAAACCCACTTCTGCCTCCCAGAAAAGGCAGCTGCCTTCTTCCCTCTTCAAGTCAAAAATCAATCTGTGACCAACTGGGAGAGAATACCTTTTCATCTTGACCTCGGATGCTTCTTTCTCATTTTATGTTCCATTCACCATGGCACTGGCTGGGAACCAGGACCTGTTCAAAGCCCAAAGTCCCCTAAAGTCTGTAAAATCCGTCCTATGAGGACTTGGGAGAAATGCCCCACACCTTTCCCTCACTTGCCCACAAGGCAAGGTGCATACCTAATCCAACCTCCTGCTACCCTTACCCTGGCTGGTACTTACCTGATGCTCCGCAGGTTCTGCAGATTTCACGAGGTGTTTATCCTTGTACAAAGACCAGAGACCAATATTGGGCAGGAAAATTAAAGCCACAGTGAATAACAAAGTCATCTGCAGAAACCTCTTCTGTTTCCTCTTCATTGCAAATGGTAACAGTGGAGAAAAGTTAGAGAAGTCTCCCTGCCTGCTTCTTGTGTTTAATGTCAAAGTCCTTTCCTCTCTCCTGGGCAGCACCAGAAACTGAGGGGAAGCTACAAACTTTTGTTGCGTGCTCAGCACCAATCTGCAGGGTTCAGAGGGAGTTGGCCATCTGCAGAACAAACGCACAGTTACTTTTCTCCAGAAAACTATGACGACGGCATTATCTATTGGCTTAGAAATAAATGACTCAACTGAGGAAATCATTAAGTCTATTGACCTCCATTAATATAAAGCAGTGGAGTAAATACGATCGTTTCATAGAATAATGATAAGTTATGAGGAAGTCAAGAGCATGCTAGACATGTCAGCAGTAAATAGGAGGTGTTTTTCTGTCGCTGTTTGCCCACCATCCCCCGCCCTTAGAGTGGGAGGTCCGGGATGTAGAGTCGGAGATTAAGATCAAGAACTGAATGGGAGGGAGTGGCTTGAGAGTCAAGTGTCTGGAAGAATAGTGTCCACTTTTGACATTGGAACATCCCCTTCCTTATCTTCCCCAAACAGCTCTTCCTTTGCTTGCCTTGGGATAACCCACCTGAACTCAAGTTCAACTCCCTGTGGAGCCAGCTTGCCAGGCAGGATCCAGGGACACCATGACCAGGTCAGAACTATGTTTGAAGAAGGGCTCACAAACTCCTGGATCCTCATGTGCTGTCAGACCGACCACTCCTCTGCGGGCAGCATCTAGGCGACCTGGGAACCTGGCGAAAGGAGGCTACAGATGTCAGCAGAGTCCAGCCAGGAAGTGCAGGCGCAAAGACGTCCCTTGTCCGTGCAGTCCAGGGAATGAGATCCTCAGAGAAGTGTGCTCTCTGCCCATCAGTCTCGTCCCCTTCCCCTGCCGACGCTCTCACGCTCCACTGTTCATGTTACCATTCTTTTCCAGCAACTGAACGAACCCAGCGAACCATCCCCAGCACCTCCGGGGCAGTATTTCCGATCTCCTCTGCACGTCAAGGGACGGATGGCGGGCGGGCGGGCGGCAAATGCCAAGTGTGACCCGGCTTTAGAGGCAAGTGGGAGAGGGCGCGCGGAGGATGAGTGAGGATGGCGAGAACGCGCGTGGCGCTGGCACCCAGGCGTCCGCCTCCCGCTGGCTGTCGCCTGCCTGCTGGCGACGATACTGGTGCCTACCACGTGCGGGAGCCTAGGGGCCGGGAGGGGAGGGCGAGTCGCCAGGAAGGGGTGGCCACTGCCTCGCGGCTGCCAGATGCTATATAAACAAACCCAGAGGCTTAGGTGGAAAGGGTGGAGGATGAAGACGCTGACGGAGAAATCGATTTGCAGCGCTGGGACTAGGGGATCCTCTTTTTCCTCGGGTAATCTCGAACCGGCAGGGAGACCGGTTCCCCCTCGGAGCTCACCCGAAAGGCGCCAGGCCAGATATTCTGGAGTCAAAGTCGCCCAGAGCGGGCGGGCAGTGGGAGAATTCCTCCATGGTACTGGTGGGATCGCAGCGAGGCAGGCGCGGCGGCGGCAGCGAGCAGAGGCAACCCAGTCTGGACCGGTCCCCAAGAGGAGGGTTCCCCAAGAATGTGGGTCCTGCAGCTCAGGCCAGGTACGTTGCGTGGAGGGGGGGCAGAGGATCCCCACGCTGGACCGGTCTCTAGCTGCAGCTTCCAGAAAACACTATGGAAAGCAGAGGCAGCTCCACTGGAGTCGGCCAGCACCTGGGGCCCAGGTTAAGATTTGGCAGCACTAAATGACGCTTGCAAGCCTGCACCTCCTGCTGCTGATAGCTGAGAGGTCTTCCTGCCCCTCACTGAGCTCACACACCCCTCCCTCAATAGCCAGAAACCTCCCGATTGAGCTAAGTCTCCAGCAGATGGGACCCTTCCCTTCCCCTTAGAAAACTGATTCAGCACACCGGAGAACCTGTGGCCTCTTTAAGGAACCCGTGTGCTTGCCTAGCACAGGATCAGGAGCGCCTAATTCCCGGTGTGAACTTAGGTAAGGCGCCAGATGGGCATGCGGTGCAGCCTCAGTGTGTACAGAGCCTCCCCCCCCCCAACACCATGGTCACCTCTTTGTTACAGTCTAGACAGTGATGCCCACATGCTTGAAACATATGAGACTACACTCCAGATGGTATTCTCATTCACCCTCTTCCTTTCCTCCCTCCCTTTCTCTTATTTCCCTCCCCCGCCTTTCTTCTCCTCCCCCGCAGCCTTCTCTCTTCCAGCTTGGCTCAAGGCTCCCACTTGAGAAAGCCCCCGATGTGATCTTGGAGAGCTAAGCCTTAAACTCTCCCGGTTATACATTTAGAATGGACTGGGGCAACAAAGATTGGCTGTATGACTACATAAATAAAGCTGTATGTTGTACTTATTTTTTTGTGGGTGACATGCCTCTGAGAACAGTTTCAAAACACATTTAATAAATAGTCTGAATGTGTCCCTTGTGTAAATAAAAAGAGTTACCTTTACACTTTACCCAAGTGCAATTTGAAAATGTAGAGGGAAGAGGATTTTATTACTACTTCCAAGCCACTCACGTACATACTCTTCACTGTTCTGCATAATTTTCAAATCTCCTTCTTCTTCCTGAGTTAAAGAAATTCTAAAACAGAGGGATATGAATCCCGGGAAGCAATGCACCAGGGAGAGGCGTTTTTGGAATAAACTAGCCCTCAAGGAAAGGTGTTTAGGGAACTATTTAGTTTATTGGCTGTTTCCTCACTTTTGGATGCAGTTATCGATGATGTGAATAGGAAACAAAAAGCTTTAAAAAGTGCTTTTGGAAATGAAACAATGAAAATAACATTTTAAGCAATACCTCTTCCTTTATGCCTTATCAAAATTCCTTAATCAGGTATAGCAATATTCTCATTTGATCTGCTAATCCCAGGATGTGGAATTGGATGCACCTTCACCGTTTTAATGTTAGTAGATGAACTTGCATACAGCATCCATTCACAGAGCAATATTGCCAACAGTGAGTAGGTCTCATTCATAATACAAGGTGGACACTAAAAGACCATTTATTTTAAGATTTACTTATTTTGTTGTGTGCTTATAAATGTTATATAACATGCTTTATAACTGTGCCAGCCAGTACCATGTGTGTGCCTGCTGCCTGTAGGGGTCATAAGAGGGCATCAGATCCCCCAGAACTGGAATCATGGATTGTTATTAGCTACCATATGGGTGCCTGGAATTGAACCTGGGTCTTCTGCAAGAGCAAGGAAGTACTCTGTACTCTCAAATGTTGAGCCATCTCTCTCTGCCCCTAGAAGATAATCTTATTATGTTCACCCCTGAGGTTCTAGTATGGTTATTGATCATCACTTTTGCAATCCTCACTTATTAAACATTTATTTATATAATTTCTCTTTCTCTTTATGCTGTTACTTTTCCATTTTACTTTTGTAACTATTACAAACTTAAGCCAAACTTAAAAGAGAAGAAAAAGGAGAGATTTTAGGTTGATTCTTCCCCAAATCCCTAAATTATTGTTAATTCTATTGATTAATATACATTTGTTTAATGCCTCTGTGGACATGGGTTAGCCTGTTTAAAATGAAATTAATACCAATTTAATAAAAGTTATAACAACTTTAAAAAACTTTTGCCTTATAGAGGAAAGTCTGTTCCTTGTGTCTTCTTTTCTTGTGATTCATATAACATCCTAAGGTAGTCACATCCCTATGTGCCTATCAACAGACTAATAACTCCAGGAACACATGGAAGAAGACATCTTGTCCTTGAGTAACAATGGAAAAGGAGAAGGGATAAAGCTGTTGAGCCAACTTTGAATCAGGTAAAAAGGCCTTGCCTGTTACATCTCTCTAATAGAAACTTTAGTGACTTAAAAATAATTGTTATGGTTTCATGATGCTATGTTTTAGCTGTTCTGAACTTGGTAGTTTTGCTTCCTGTAACAAAACAGATCCTCTTGTTAGAGTGGCCTGGGTAGAGATGGCTACCAGTAGGCAGTGGTTCTTAGTCCCAAGGTCATCTGAGTGGGATGATCTTAGCACAGTTTCATCTTCCCACTTATCTTCACTGGGTAACTCTATAACCTGAGCTGGGCACATCATGGTGGGTGTGATTCCCAACAGGAGCAACCCAAGCACACATGGCCAGGGAGGAATAACTAAAACCTGTCTACTTCTCATAATGAGTGGACTGCTTCCTCCATAATCAGAGCACCAGCCTGAATTCCAGTACTAGGTGGGTTTAGGGAGGAAAAAAGAGAGGACTCAATAAAAGTTTCCTCACAGAGCACACGGCTGCCTTTAAAAATTATAGATATCCAAAGATAGAGCAACAAGAGTTTAGAAGGATGCATAACCAGCTAAGCAAGAGACTAGTGCAGAATAACAGACAAAGGTTAGTGCCATGTGACATTCCTCAGTTGCTAAAAAAGATAATGAGGTTGATTGCTTAATACTTTAAAATAAATCACCACGGAAGTGCTTTAAAGAAATATGCCCACTCTTAGTTTTTCTATAATTACAAACTTGTTTTACAAGTTAATTAACTTTATATCTGAAAAGATAATGCCTGCTCAAGGTGTGTTGCCCATATATCAAAGAAAAGTCATCATCCACTATCTTTGGTGAATACAATTATTGACAACCTTAGGAACAGGAAATGATAAGCTGTTGCTATTTAATATGACATAAATACAACACAAGGCAGAGAAATTTACTTTTAAGACTATAAGATAGAACTCTACTTGAATTTTAACTACTTACATTGAAATTCATCTGCGCTCTAACTTCAATTTAACATTATGGAATTTATTTTCATGTAGCTTTGATTTTTTTAATGTATTTATTTTGAAACATAAAAGCCAGAACATAAAAACAGTTGTCTAGAAGCAAAGATACATCCTATGTTCTCATTCACGAATCACTTCTGGAATGTGAGAACATTTGAGAGTTTTAAATTGGGATACATTAATAAACTCTGGAGGTTTTACCTGTTTTAAAAACCAGATAAATTACCAAAATAAGTGGAGATTAGTCTCTGTGTAACTACATTGATCTAGTATTTAAAAACTGATTCTGGAAGCATGCACAGGGCCTGTGCACATCTGGGTCTAATGGGATCTTAGCGCCGAGACTGGAAGTAGACAAACCTCTCATCCCTAGTCTAGAAACTATCTCTAATGGATAACCAGTTGCAAATGAAAATTGTTTTTGTTCTAATGAAGTCTCATTGGGTACACAGACAACTCTTAAAGCCAGGTTCCAATCCAGCAGTAGATGGTCAACACAAAACAAACTTAATGGTATTTTTGAGGTATCTTTGTCTCATTATCTTTTGTCTGTCTGCTCTCTCTCTCTCTCCCCACCCTCTCTCTTTCACCCTTACCCTACATTTCTATTGTTTACATATTATGGTTTCCAATTTGCTGCTTTTAGGGAATATTTGCGTGTGCCAATGCTTATGCCTCTGTGTCGACATGTGTTTCTTGTGCTTTTTCTTTGGCTTTTTGGTTTTTCTATTAATTTGTTTGTTTTCTTCTATTCATTTAAAATCTTATTTTGTTATTATTTTTCTTTCTTTTTTACATGTCTGTTTGTTTAGACTGAGAGAGCAGAAAAGGGTGTGGATTTGGGTGACTAGGGAGGTGGGCAGTCTGAGAGAAGTTGGGAGAGGAGGGCCATAATCAGAATATATTATGAAAAAAATATTTTCAATGTAAAGAAAAAAAGAGAAAGGAATCTGATTCTGGGGATTGGAGAGATAGTTTATCAGTTAAGAGCACTTGCTGCTCTTCTAGAGGACTCAGCGACTTAAATTACCTGTAACTCCAGCTCCAAGTGATCCAATGCCCTCTTCTAGGCTTTTCAGGCTCCCCCACATACATATTTCACTAATCAGAACCCAAACACATAAACATGAATAAAAGCAGTAAAACATTAAATATGAAAAATAAAATAAATAAAAAGTGACCCTGTAATCAAAAAGAAAGGTGCCTATTGACGAATAATTTAAATAAAGAAAATCTAATTATTCAATTATATATTTAATTTTACATGAATAAATTATAAAATATCACCCAAAATCTTGTAAGTGTTTTCCAGGAAATACAGCAT